TTTCTTTTTTTTTTTTTTTTTTTTTGGGCCAGCTTTAGCTCTGAGGCCTCGCTGCTGAAAAGATGGATACAATGTTTCGGTCCGGCTGGGTTTCAGTCCGGCTGTTTTCTGGGGTTTTGTTTACCTTCTTATTTGCAACATAGTATATAGTTGCTTAGAGTTGCAACTGAGAGGCTGGCAAGTGAGGCGGGGAACGTTGGAGTCTGCAGCAAGCAAGCCTCGTGCTTGCTTCAGTGCCTGGCTGCCGGCCGCCATCTTGGCTGACAGTTAATTTGCATATACTCACTGATTAGCCAATGAAAAGGGTAGCGGTCGTACGCCAATTACCATGTTTCTCTTTTATTAGTGTAGATGATAATAGCCATAATTTACTGAATATTAGCTCCTGGGCAGGCCCTGTGCTAAGAATTTTACATCAATTATCTTATGTACTTCTCACAATAACATACAGTTTCTATTCCCGTTTTAAGGGAGGGAGCTTCAGCTCAGAAGCTAAGAAGCTTTCCCAAGTTTATAAAATTAACAAATGGTGAAGATGGAATGTGAACCACACAAGTTTCTAATTATTATTCTCCAATATACACTATACTGTTGTAAATCACTTTTCAGTTAAATTAGTTCATCTACCTCCTCAATTATCTATGTCCAGGACCAGCAAACTTTTTCTGCAAAGGGCCATAGTAACTATGTTAGGCTGTGGGGACCATATGAGGTCTCTGTTGGTCACGACAACTCAGTTCTGCCACTGGAGCATGCCACCAGCTCAGACAATCCTTAAGGGAATCAGCAGGGATGTATTCCAGTAAAACTTTAAATACATCAACAGGCGGCAGGAAGATTTGGGCAGCAGTCTGAGAACCCTTGATATAAGTAAAACTCATGTTCCAGATAGAGCTGGATATCTGTCCTATGGTTTTGCATAATCTCCTATTCTTGTTTAGGAAGAACAGGTTAAAAGAAAATTATTTTAAAAAATGGGAGAAGCCAATGCCAAAAGGTAAGGGAAAGGGATTTAATTTTTCTCTTCTTTCCTCTACCAACCTATGGATAACAACAGGGGCCCGACAGGACCCTCCCTCCAGTCCCTCAGCCATGGGTTCTCTGCTTCCACTGGGCCTGGTATCCTCAGCCTCTGGCACCCTGCGCAAGCAGAACACAGCCAATTTCCCCATCAGCTGTGACCCCCCAGTTAGGTGGTTCTGTCTTACCTTCCCACCTAACTGGACACCTACCCCTAAAGTCCAGCGACTTTTTCTTCTACATTGTTTATGGCATATCTCTATGCTTTTGCTCATGCTAGGAAAAATGTCCCGCTCTCTCTGTTAACTGAGTCCAATGTCTAATTGCAGAAATGCCATACTGCTTCCTAGTTCAAAACCCCTGGTCCCTTGAGTCAACTCTAAAACATCCTCTACATGTCAACTATACTTGTGTATTTTGGTTCAACCCCTGGTCCCTTGAGTCAACTCTAAAACATCCTCTCTAAACATGCCAACTATACTTGTGTATTTTGGTTTAAGTGTTGCTTCACTTATTTCAAATACTATAACACTAATACCATAAAAGAATGAGAATCATTCTTACTTAAGAGTTATTGTCATTGGATATAATTGGCCAAAGTAGTTTGATTTATAAGATTGATTTTAGAGATTTACCTTTGTTTCCAGTTCTGAATAATGAGAGAAAAGGGTAATGTTTAGTTTCCCACAGAGCTGGAAGGTAAAGGTTATTCAGGCATGTAACACTAGTGATAACTTTGGATATCAAACTCCAGAAGCTGAGGTAGAAGAAAAATCATGGGGATACTAAAATGTCCAAATGCACTCAAATGTAGACAGAAAATAAAATGGAATATCAATAGCATTACAAATTCCTGTTAAGAAAGAATGTCTGATTAATAAGTGCATCTCAAGTAACTAAAAAAGAATACGACATTCAAATTACTCATGTTTCTTGCATTTTACTAAGATCTTCACTGAGACCACTTAGGAGGAAGAAAACTGTAAAGAAGGGTCTAGTTGAGGACAGCCTGGTTCTTTCTCATTAATTCTTAGCTGCTCCTTTCACTCCTCTGGGCTCACAGGGCCTCACTTCTCCCTCTGCCAGTGGCAACCATGTCTTATCTGATAACAAAGAGTCCTCTATGATTTCCACATTTTGATTTTAAAAAAACTTGTCCTATTTTTTTTCCTGCTCCTTGTAGATGTTTCTGGTTTATTTCTCTCAAGCTTCCTAGTAACGATAAACTCCAATTTTAAAGAACTATATCTTTTAGGAGCAAATAATATAAGCATGTAACTTAATTTTTAAGCAGATATTCAGAGAGGTTTCACTACTCAAAGTGAGAGCTCAAAGTAAAGAAATATGGTCACCAATGAGAACTTAATGCCTTAAAACACACAAACAGACTTGAATTATTACGTGAGTACAGCCAATGGTACACAGTCTGTGCGCTCCCAGGAATGCACAATGCACACCCACACGGTAGAGACCCTGAGGAGGTCTGCAAAGAGGAACATTCGAATTGTTTCCTCCAAATGTGCCTGACCCCCAAAACTTTTACCCCCAACACCTGTTACCATCTGTGAGAACTATTTCATGGAAAGCCGCCAGAGGAGCTTTTGGAGAATTAATTAATAGCATATTAAATGTAAGAGACAGTTTAAAATTTTAGCCACATCTTTATGAACTTCATATTTCTTCTGGAAATTCCTAGTACAGTTGACTATATCAATCTGATACAGTTCAATATAATTCCCAATATGGTGAATACATCCACATTGATAAATGCTCCAGTGAAACATAACAAGTTATGACTTGGAACTATTTATCAATGAGCCCTGTAAATTCACCACGATCACAGCAGAGCCTAGCCCTGGTTTTGCCATTAACTAAGAGTGTGACACTGGGATAGAGGTTTAGTCTCAGAGCTTTGATTCACTTATAGCTAAACTGGGGCTAGACTTGCCTTGTCTACCCAACTGGTCCATTTTGCGAATCAAGTGATCAAGATCGAAATCAAAACCAAGACTTTTCCATCAAGTATTATAAAACCATTAAAAGAGTTTTAAAAGTATACAAAGCTATATCTTATTTCAATAGAACATCAGTTTTCTTTTTATAGAGCTACACTAAATGCTACTGTGACTACTTTTTCCGAACTTCGCTAAATATCTCATTTTACCTAGTCAGAAAATTTTTATTTAGCCATTAACTATCATGATGCATCATCAAACGTTTTTCAGAAAACACATGGCAAAAACAGGCAATAAAATCAGAAAGCTTTGTTTAAAGAAGAAAAGATGTATCGCCCAGTGGTGTGTGAGCAGTGCCACCTCCTCTGGGCTCTGTTACAAACTCACCTGTGGCATAACAAAGGCAGCCCTTCATCCAACCGAGTGGAGACAGTAGGGCTCTATACTCTTTGAGTCCTTCATTAAACTATTGATTCCTTTAGCATTATCCATAATGGTGAAGTGCTAGTCTCTCACTCCCTTCAATAGCTTCCTCACTTTATGGAGAGGAAGCCACGGTGATTTATTTACCTGACATTTTCCAGTCCGGATGTCGTACAGGGCCACTGAACCATTGCGAGCTCCCACTGCTATCCTGTGACTCCGCTCATAGTAGCTGACCATGTAGAACCTGAATTGAACATTTTCAAAACAACAACAAAACCAGGTTAAATGACCTGCACGTGGAAGTAGAGAGCAACACCTTTCAAAGGTTAAAGCCAGCTCTGATACATATTTTAAAATGTGTACATCTATAGTTAGTGTATTGAGACTTTTAAAAAATGGTTCATTTTAGTAATTCTTAAAGCAATTGAAAGAAAAATGATGGGGAATGCCAGTAAGGTCTGCTAATAATTATTTTCAATGGAAAACAACTTCATAATAAGAAACACCCTTAAATTTTAAAATAAGAAATAAGTGACCCTTATTTGACGATACAAAAAAAAAACAAATATGAAAACTCAGTTTTACTACTGTGGCTATTATGCAAATATGTCTATTAAACAGAAATGGAAAAAAAGAAAAGGATTATATATTCAATCGAATTATGTTCTCATGGCTTATTACAGTATTAAGGAGTGAAATATACTTTCTAGCAGCAGAACAATCACATAAAAGCTCCATAGATGTTATGCTTATGTTCACATCAATAATTTAGAATGAAATTAGAAAGTTATCCACCAGAAAAAAAGCTACCTGGCAAATTCCCTATTTTTTTCCACATTTATCAGTTTATCTAAATGTCAGTTGTGGCTACAGGTAGTACGAATAACCACATTGGGTGTGATTTGGCATTGTGTAAAAATGGGATGTAGGGAGAATGGTTGGAAGGTTATAAGAGGTTGATTTATTATTTATTTTTTCTAGATCAAATTTCATGACTGGATTAAGTATTTCAATTCCAGATCTAAGCTTTGTCCTAATGATTCCATGGCCATATGGCAAGAGCCTGGGAAGGTAAGAATAAAAACTATTAGAGGAGTAAATAAGGAATGATTTTATATCCCTAAGGAGTTTTGAATATACCTTCCCATTATCTAGTCCTACTGTCTCGGTGTGAGAGTTGCCGGATGAACAAGTGGCCTACCCTAAATATTTATGAGGCTATTGCATCAATTCTATTACACTCTCCTTGCCTTTTTTATCTTTGGTTTCATATTACCAGAAAACATCGGTAACTTTTCCGTTATTATTTTTAAAAACATGGGATGGGGAGGTAAAATGGATGATGGAAAGGAAATACCATCCTCTAATGCTTTCTAGAGACTGATGTAGAGTAGAAAAGTGCTGGGGCATGGACTGCGTTTCTGAAATGCAATGAGGGAGGCTGAGAGACCGAGATAAGATGTTTGCAGGGGAGCATTTTGAAACCAGGGACATTCTGACAAAGCCATTTTAGCTTTATTAGACATTACGACATTCATGCATATTTCATAAGCCTGGAAAACTATTAAGTTTTTAAACTTTTGTTTGTTTGTTACTTATTACTAAGAAGTGGGTTCAACAATAATTTTGTCTGAACCCCCGGCTGATGCACCTCCTTCCTCTTCAGTGGAGGACGGGATGTTTGCAGGGGAGCATTTTGAAACCAGGGACATTCTGACAAAGCCATTTTAGCTTTATTAGACATTACGACATTCATGCATATTTCATAAGCCTGGAAAACTATTAAGTTTTTAAACTTTTTTGTTTGTTACTTATTACTAAGAAGTGGGTTCAACAATAATTTTGTCTGAACCCTAAGCCTCCCCGGCTGATGAGCCTCCTTCCTCTTCAGTGGAGGACGAATGCTGCGTTTTCAGTCACGCAGAGGCACCGCATTAGCATGCCCTGCGGGGTCTCGCTGGGCGCAGGCCTGGCACGTCCTCTTGTGTATGGTTTGAGGGAAGCAAGGGTACTGAGGCTTCTGACACATAAAGCCCCCTCCCCCCGCATTAAGTGGTTATTAAAATGTTAGTTTCTCAAAGCATCACTTCTACCTCAATGGAGAAGATAGGAATCAGCATTCTAAATCTAATGTTCTTATACTCAAAAATAAAAAGTGATTTAGTTTAAAAACAGTTGGTCTAGGTATTGGACTTCACTTATATGCCTATATCTATACCTATATCCTATATCTAGATCTGTTCTGACACATAAAGCCCCCTCCCCCCGCATTAAGTGGTTATTAAAATGTTAGTTTCTCAAAGCATCACTTCTACCTCAATGGAGAAGATAGGAATCAGCATTCTAAATCTAATGTTCTTATACTCAAAAATAAAAAGTGATTTAGTTTAAAAACAGTTGGTCTAGGTATTGGACTTCACTATATGCCTATATCTATACCTATATCCTATATTTAGATCTGCATCTATACACACGTAAGCACACACAATTTATGTCCTTAGAGTAACATGGAACAATTGTTTTTAACAAATATTTATTCTGTACAACTTAATAGCCACAAGAAAATAAAACTTCCAGAGGTACTTTTTAAAAATCTGTTATTAAGCTTTGCACAGATCTAATAGCTATATTGCCAAAATCCTTTCACAAAACATGAATACAATTACACCTCCAAATAATCCTCTTTAAAACAACCACTGGTAAAAATACATTTATGTTGACAACATTTTACTTAGTTAAACTAGAATCTAAAAAGTTTTTGTTACATTGACCATTTTCTGTGCTCTGATAGCTACCGCTCACCCTTCTATGTCATCTGTAAACACCGTTATTTATGGGAGAAAAGAAATCAAATCTATTCTTGGTACCAAATCTTGAGTCTGCCTGAAAGGACCATATGTTACAGGTCTGCATTTTTTATTCTTTGCAATTTACCACTAGACTAATACTTCTCAGCAGTACCTTAAAGAATTCTGAACAGGGAAGGTCTTCTGGCGAGTTTCTATGATTGGATTTGTTAAACTGTTTATTTCTTTAACTGTGTCTCTTAACAAAACAGAGTAAGTCCGTTTTACTTATGCAGTCACTTCACAAGTACCCACTCGGTGGTCTGGCTGCAGTGAGCCTGTCTCTGCCGAGGGTTCCAGAGCCCACCACACCCCTCGACTACTCTTCCCATTAGGGGGCTGTCAGGACCAAGGATGGTGAGATATGCATCACTTGTCTAACCCTCCAAATTCTCAATGGATTGAAGAAGGGGATCCATTACAGTTTTTAAGACTATTCTAGTCTTGACCTGATCCTACAGGAGAGTCCTGAATTCCTCCAAAATTGGGGAGGGGTGTGCAGAGTACGATTCATGTGTGTTGAGTCCTCTGGCAAAGGTATCTGTCTCTAGGTTGCTGCACTGATAACATGTCACTTGGGCAGCGTGTCTTAGGCAACAGCCTGGCAACAACAGTCTTTTGTTATATTCAAGTTAGAACAAAGGTTCTTCTGGACTCAGTCTACCACAAGGAAACTAAGTCAGAGAGAACATTACCACTCGTGCATATGAAAGAACAATAAAGTGGAACTGAGTAATGCTGCAAATATATATTTCTTGTTGGGGCCGGGGTGGTCTTCATCCAGAAATTTTAAAGTCCTTGAGTCCCACATTTTCATTATTGCCTGCGTGCACCCCCCAGAGATGCCACAGCCGCAATCAAGAAGGAACTTTGAAAAGGAGGAGGCTCTTTATTGAACACGTTCATACATCCGCACCAGAACTCAGGCCTCTCTGTTGCGCATGCGTTTGACAGATCTAGAGAAATGCAGGTGGCTCTGGCGAAGGCATGAGCTCAAGGAGAGCTGTGCTAGTTTTGGGGGTGTGAGCAGTAGAGGGTGTGGAAATATTCTCCAAAAGTGCTCCATTCTAGTGGAAGGCACCAGTTCGAGAGGACAAAATGGAAAGATCTCTCGTTCTGGATGGTGAGGGACACTGGCGAAGGGCATTTGGGAGTCAGGACTTCCCACCCAGTGTTTTGCACACTTTAAATAGTCAATGGATATTTCCTGAATAACACTTGACTACCTAACAGGGTAATTACTTTCCTTCTTAAAAAAAACAAAAAACAAACAAACAAAAAACTTGCTAGAGGCCCCTGTGTGTTTGTAGGAGATTGGAAACACTTCTTAGGCTAGACAGGGAGCAGCGTTTCTGCAAGAAAAAACACCGCACATGTTGCGAGTGCATTGTATGAGAGCTGAAAAAACAGGTCTCTTGTTGCCTGGCTCTGCCACTCACTGTGTGACCTTGGACAAGTTACTTAACTTGCATATGCCTCAGTTTCCTCATCTGAAAATGAGAACAATAGTAGCTATTTATGTTGCTGGGAGGATAAAATGAGCTAATACATGTAGAGTACTTAGAACAGTGCCTGGCACATAATAAGCACTTACTATGGTAAGTACATGTAAACTTTAGTAACTATCATAGTATCCTCATCACCATCATTATCATTTGTACCTCTGGATATATACTATAGAAGGAATAAATAAAATGTAGTTAATTGGCTATTTCCCTAGGGCAAATAAGTGCTAGCTGATAACATGCTAATAAATGAAGAAAATGAATGCCCCAAAATATTTTAAACTTGCTTATTTCTTAAATATTTGTGATTTGCATATATAACCTGGTAACAATTGCAAATTATTTTAGTTTTAGCTTAATGTTGCTAATGCAAAAAAAAATGGATTTTGGTTTGGAACTCTATATCATTTCAAAGAGTCTAAAAAATAAATATTCTTTCTGTTATACAGTGAAATGAAATACTCCTGGAAGCTTTGGAGTTTCATTTTTTTTTTAATATGAAGAAGTTTAATACTGAAAGACAGCTATCTTTGGGGAATTTTTAGGAGTAGAAAAATGGTTTTAGTCGGGTTTCTACTCACATGAGTACAAGAATAACAACTAAAATTATTTATTATAAAAAAGTATGCTACAACATGGTAACTAACTTAAGAATTTTACTGGAAGTTAGGACAGAAGCTGTTTCATATCCCATTACTGTTATTACCACCTGGGATAAGAACAAACCGCAGGTTAGGAAAATTTTTTTAAGAAGTGAGCTCATGCACTGTTCTAATGTAGACAGTGTTCATTTCCTTACTGGATTCTAAGTGCCCATTTAGGGTGAACCGAGCTGATTCAGCTTTTCACTTAAAAAGCAGAATCAATCAGTCTGTCTACAGAATAACAAAGTT